GATTAAAAAATACGAAAACTTTCATACATCGAAACCGTTAGATGGGCTTACTACAGCACACACTTCCTTTCACGTTTTAATGACATACGGCATTTTTTTTTCGTGATAATGCTGCTGATAATAGAATCTTTGTCCTGCGAAAAGGAGTGGTTAGGGCAATTTACAATCTGGGCTTCGGAGCGTCTTTGTCATTCTTACACTAGCGTCAAATGTTATTTATGTTAAGAGGGAGCAGAGAAAAAATTCCTAATTTTCGATTTGTTTTTAGAGGGGTATATCCACTTTAAAGTTAAAAATAAAATATTGTATGAGTAACTACACGATATATTCAAGCATAGACATTAATCAGAAACATAAAACAATAAAGTTTCCTCGATAGATAAAAATCACGAAATTACCTCTAATTTTCACATTTTTTCGATTCATCCTCGAAATGCTACAGGTTATTAGGACAAAAATTAGATAATTAATTATATTTATGCATGATCGAGAACTGTCTCTAGAGATTTTTTTAAGTCGCATGTCACGCGAACTTCAGGCATATATTTGTTTCACAAATTTGGGCGGAGCCAACGTCAAAACTTTTTTGGCATGAGAGCTCTTAAAGAGAATAACATTCTTACACTAGCGTCAAATGTTATTTATGTTAAGACGAATAGTAATATTTTTATAAGAAATAGTGACAGACATAACTTTAACACGAGGAGTAGAAATAAACAAGCTGTTCTTGACAGTTGTCTTCCTAAAGTCTCTAATTCATTTAAGGGGTAATGTATACGCTTCCATAATATTTCTGGTTGATATTCAAAATTTGCCATTTGCGAGGTTAGTGAAACAAAAATTTTATACTAAAGGTTATACAGCTTCTGCGTACTTGGATGACAAAATTCCGTGGTAGTGACCGGTTTATCTCTTGCAGGTGTTGATGTTAAAATGTTTGAAATAAATATATAAAAATGTATATTTACAAAGAGTAACCGCTAGACTTTCCTGCTCATACCTCTCAGGGAAATCTGCCTTACGAATGAGCTGTAAAGTTTAATCAGTATGACAATTTCAAGAGTAATTTACTTAGTTATGAAATCAAGAAATGAAATCAGCTGAAGTGGCTTCGCATTCGTCTCCGCAGGAATTGCACATCGTCTCTTTTCTTTACAAAATTCTACATAATTCTTTGTCTCACAGGTACCTGAAACAGCGTTTCAGCTTTCACAGGTCCCAGGATAAGCCTTGTCGCTCTCTCGTAAGGCCCCAGTTATCTTTTCCATAATTCAATTACGGTTTTTATTTTCACTCATTTACTGTTAATGCGGTCAGACTTTGGAACGCACTTCCCGCTGTACATCATAGTAAATCCTTAGCTATCTTTAAAATGAGAGCAAGGAGCGCTATTTATCATCTGTTTCATCCATTTTATAGATATTATAATATGAAATTAATATAGTCTGTAGTAATCTTTTGCTATTTATTTATTTTTATTACATAATTTATTGTTGTTTTGTTGTGTACGTAAACCCGCTATTAAAATTATTTTGTCCTGTGTTTTGGTCTGCAGGAAGAAATTTCTTATAGAAATAAGCAATATCTCTTCTTTGCGTTTTCCGTTTTACTATAGTACCGGCACGCTATGATGACCGTTTTGACGTTTGTCCGCTCATAACTACGTTGAAGCTCTAATTGCTGTCAATAGTGACTTGCAGTAAAAATTATAGAATGTATAATTTTATGACACAACTCGGCATTTGTCTTTCGAAATCAGAAATTTAAAAAATCTAATGCGATCGTCACTTATGGGATCGCTGGCCAGCACAACTTCTATCTCCGACAAACTCAAGCTCAGTGCAAAACAAAGCAGTTTCGAATTGACGATATATTAAGTAAACATTTTTATTTTCGTTTTATTAAAACTATTTAATCACCTACCCCTTGTAATACTAGTTATAAATCTAAAAACTTACAGGTGCGAGCATTTGATTATATATTTTTCGGTAATGAATTGAGATTTGACCACACTATAGTAATCTATCAAAACGGCCATCATAGCGTGCCGGTACTGTAAATATGAATGTTGGTAGCAAAGACGTGTACGTCTTTGTGAAAGAGTTCGTCTAGGGAAATACTGCCACCTTATTTCTGCCGCCAAGCAGTAATGTTAGCATTACTGTGTTCCGGTTTTGAAGGGTAAGGGTGCTGGTGAAATTACAGGCAAATGGGACTTGTCAGTGCCACTCAGATCTTTGCGATTTAAAGCTCTGAGTTGCACTGCAGACGTGCAGCTCGTGACGATACGGTGGTCGCCATATTAGCTATTTTGTTAAAATTTTGAAATGGCGGTTTTATCTAGTGATGAAAGAGACTCAGTCTTTAAAGGCCTTTAAAAAACCTCGACTAATTTTTAACGCCTCACGACTAGTCTAGTCTTTTAACCCTCGATTGAGTCATAAGTCTAAAACTGAAGACTAATTCGAGTCTAAGTCTTTTAACCCTAGGAAGCTTAAAAGACTTGTAGGACTAAAACGACTGGCGACTTATAGCCGCGGAAGTCGCGAGTCATGACTCGTATGGCGTGATTTTATTTCTACTCACAAGATATTTATTTTACGATTGATGGATAACGTTAACGTAGCTTTGTTCGCAGAAGTCAGTTAATTATAACCAATTCAAGAATTTGTTTTTTGGGAATTATTTGTTTCTTTAATATAAAAAAAATAAATGGATTCTGAACCTTTTCGTGTCTGAAATTTTAGTGTCTGATACTGTCTCGTTTGACCATAATGATGAATGAAACGTATTAAGTGGAGGTCCACAGTCTCTGGCTACCCCTGACTGGGTGACAGGCGAGATTTTTATGTATAATATAATAATAATAATAATAATAATAATAATAATAAATTTATTCAATTTATGGGCAGACAAAAGTTGAACCATCATAACCTATTCTAGGTACAAAAACCTGTGTTAATAGTGTTACGAAGATTCTCCGTTTTGGCAAAATCAGAAAAGAAAACAATCTTTGAACTGCGGCTAAAACTGAAATAGTGTAGTGCAGTGCCGTGAATCTAGTGTCGAGTAGCAATAGCAGTAATAAAAAGTAAGTAGAAAGTATGTGTAACTGTGTGTGTGCGTGTGTGAATGTGCGAGTGTGTAAGTGTGTGTGTGTGTAAGTGTGTGTGTGTGTGTGTGTGTGTGTGTGTGTGTGTGTGTGTGTGTGAAAGTGTGTGTGTGTGTGTGTGTGTGTGTGTGAAATGAAATGGAGTAGAGTGCGCTTAAATAGCATTTATATAGATAGATAAATAAAATAAATAGATAAATAAAATTTAAGTATGGAAGGCTATTTATGATAATATAACCAGGAGTTCTTCCGTCTTCTCATAAGATAATTTCTGTAACCATTTTCTTAGTATATCTCCAACTTCATACTTGTTTAATGCATATATTTGATGGGATTTATTAATTTTATTATATAATCTAGTACTTAGTGCAGTTAATTGTCCGTTAGCAAAGGCAGTACGGCATCGCTTGGTATCACAGACAGGGAAACCTTGTCGTCTACCAAGAGCAATTTTATCTAGGGGTAGATTTGAATGACGATGTAAGACACATTTTAGTATAAATGACTGCCTCACCGTGAGCACCTGGGCTTCGGAATATAACTCATCAGTGGAATAATCTCTTGGTTTGAATAAGATGATCTTCAACACCGCCCTTTGTGCACGTTCAAGGGACAAAAGATAAGTCTTACATGCACCGCCCCAGATGGGAATGCAATAAGAAATAATTGATTCACATAAGGAACGGTACACTAAAAGAAGCGTATCCGAATTAACACAGTGACGCAGATTCCTAAAAACGTAGATCAACTTCTTTACTCTTCCACAAATATTGTCGATGTGAGGTTTCCAGGTTAGTCTATCATCCTCTAGAACCCCCAAATATCTCACAAATCTAGTTCTCGAGAGAATAAAGCAACCACAATTTGAGGTATCATTGCAGACGTGAGCTTTGATAGAGTCTGTGCCAGCTGGAGGCTCGGTGCGAGACAGGTCAAAACGAAGGTACGTGGTTTTGTCCATGTTGAGCGTTAGTAAATTTGTAGAGAGCCATTCCATAATCACTCTCAGAGATGATTCCGCTCTCAATTTTGCCCTTTCCCAGTCCACATCATAGACCAAAAGCGCTGTATCGTCGGCATAAGTAAATACTTCACAGTTTTTTAGACTTAGCGAGCACAGATCATTTATGTTTGTTCTATGTATTACAGATAAATTGTATCTCATTTCTGTGCACAGGTTTCCAAAGAAGTTTAAACAAAAATACCAGGACTTCATAATAAGAAAAATGGTTACAGACCAATATTACACAAAATAAAAAAGAGCACGTTAGAACTGGATCTCCATAGACTTTTAAATATTGGATGCATTTCCTTCATTCATTTTAATTTACTCGCAGAACAAGAATTTTATGAAATCATTATATAATTAGGTCTTAAAATCTCGTACCTATTGCTTAAATCACTATATGAATCCTAATTTTTATTATAAGTAAATAAACGTGATTATGTACTACATACTGCGTCATTTTTATTTATAAACTTCGGGTTTAATAAGACTAAAATAGATATAAGTCCATTTGCAAAGAACTTGAGTCGTTTAAGTCGTTCAAGTCTTTTGAGTCGTTTAAGTCGTATAACTCGTTTAAGTCTTTTAGTATGACGACTACGAGTTTTTATTAATAAGACTTATTAATAAAAACCTCCAGTCTTAATTTTAGGGTCGAGTCGTTATAAAACGCCTTGAAAGACTGAATCTCTTTCATAACTAGTTTTATCACTCCAATTTGACAGCTAAATCTGGATATAACAGCTTTATCGCAGCGGCATGCTACGGGGACCGACATAGTCTAAAAACTCTAGAGGTTGCGACAAAAAGGGGGTGTTATTGTAAGTTGTAATTTAAGTTTTATTTTTTCAGAGGCAGTGCAAGGCCTGATACAGTTACTATATAATAAATATACACATCTCACAGAGGAAGTATTACGTAAACCAGTGTATTTGAAATAAAAGCGACTACAACTGGATGAATAATGTATTGTAAAAGTGTATTTATGTTTTTGTGGATCGGCTATGTGGTTTCGCAAGGTCAGTATACAGATTATTGTTATCTTTTATATACTAACACGTTGGCGTTGAATTTAATAACACTATCTAAATTTATTTTAAGTTCAGTCTGTATCGTGACTAGAAGGTTAAAAGTATATAATTTTATCGCTTCTTTTCTTCTATATTAAGATTATTTAGTATCATCTTTGTTGTATCTGTAAGAAAATATAGAACGAAATTTAAATACATATATTGGACATTGTTATGCAAATTAGAACCAACACACAAAATGTCACTTTCGAGATATTTAGACTTTTGTAAAAACAGTGTGAAGAAATAAATAGGTAAGTCATTTGTGACAAACAACGTGAGTTATGTGTAGCATTAAGAATGATATGGCGTGCGAGCAATAATTTTAACATAGTTTCTGCTCTTTACGATTTTGATTTGTTTAACACAAACTGTGCGTACATTAAGAAGGTATTACCTAATTCATTTTTGTATTACTAAAGTAATCTAATTAGCGTAATTGTTACATTGCTTCTATAATGTGTCATGTCGTGTCGTGCCCAATGTCGTTTAGTTGTTTAGTGTTGTCAATGCTGTCCTTTGCTATTGTATTTTTATCAGTAGGGACCTGGTTTTGCTTACAATTATTTAATATGGTCTTTATTACGTTGTGATACAAGCTGTTTGTACCCTTAAAAAAAACATACAGTCGTATCAAGAACCACATAGTTTCATTTTCAATGAAAACCAAGGAACTGTCTATCTTATTTCTATTACAATTTTCCAACAAAGCTTTACCACCCGCTTATTTACGCGAGCCTGACATTGTCATTTCAATTTTCAGAAGTATGCTACCACAAGCAGGGCACAACAGGAGTTTGCAAGAATATAAGAAACTGTCAGCCGGCCATTGACGATATCAAGAAGCGAATTACTCCACAGGTATTAGAAAGAAAGAAGAAAGAAAGAAGCATTTATTTATTATTATTTAACTGCCTCTGTGGCCGAACGGTTGCCATCCCACGCAGAGATCCCAGGTTCGATTTCCGGGCCGGGAGAAATATTTCTATGGCCTACATTTATTTCTCTCGTGAGTTTGGGTGTAATTTGTGGTTGCCTATGTGTGTGTCTATAGCACCCGCGACACAGGGTTTCCCTAGTGCGGGGCTATGTTGAATGTGTGCGTAATTAGTATTATTAATCGGTTGTTCACAAATAATATTGCAAATATTACAACTAGATACAAGATCCTCCAATCTGGTAATTTTAAATCGTCTCTGTTGTATGTCGATAGAGGGCAGGATTTCGGATGTTTGATGTTCTACAAAAAGCTAAGAGTAGAGGCTTGTCTGTCAGTGGCTAGCCATCGAATTCCACTCTTCGATGGCACGTCGATAGTGTAGTATACTAGGTAACCTATCACAAACTCGAATTGATGTTTTCCGAAATAACGTTTGTTAGAATTTTCATTACACCGAAAACCAAATTATAACAAAACCGTTGTTCTTTCAGGATATGTTGAATGTTTATCGAAAAGACACGATTAGGTTCGGTTAGGTTAGGTTAAGTTCTGGCCTGTTCCCGGGGGGGATGAGAGTTTCTCGCCTCCCTCCATGGCTTCGCCGATTGCGGAGCCGGAACTCACCGGACACGTTTGTTTTGGTGACTACCTGCACAAGATCGCACGCAGGAAGGTGACCCCGGAGTGTCACGAGTGCGGCGCTGGTACAGACTCGGCGAGGCACACCTTGGAGGTGTGCCCGACCTGGAGCCAGCAGCGCCGGCATCTCGTAGAGGTGGTGGGAGGGCGAGACCTCTCACTGCCCAGCATAGGAGCCATGCTGGGAAGCGAGAGGTTATGGCAGGTGATGGTCTCCTTCTGTGAGAATGTGATGTCGCAGAAGGAGACGGCTGAACGGGTCTGCGAAGACAGCGCCCTCTCGGACCCCATTCGGCGTCGGCGGAGAGGACGCACACGACGGCTCTTCGTCGACCGCCTGCGTCCCATCAGCGGAGGCCAGCAGGGTAAAGGGTTGGGAGACCCTGCCGCTGCATTGCACAGGACTCCGCCGCCGGTAGGTGCCCCAAATGTTACGGGGCATCTCCGTGCAGGTCGCTCCACATGATAAAGGGGTGGGATGGTGTAGGGGTCCACCCAAAGGCGGACCGGCATCACCGGAGTCGCGGTAGCATCTGAAAGGAACCCCGCGGCTCCGGCGCCAAGTGCGCGCAGGAACATCGTGAGGTTTTCATAGTAGTGGGTATGCTCCACACCATCCACATATCCACAAATCCACGCCCTCTTCCAGCGGCGGGGAATGCGTAACGCATTTTCCTCACGGTAATAAAAAAAAGGTTAGGTTAAGTTAAGTTTAAAAGAAGAAACATTTTCCTCTTAAAATTACTTTCGAGGTTATGAAAATTCGAACTAACGTTATTTCTGGAAAATGTCATTTCGGACTTCTGATAGGTAACCCTAGCTGCAGTAGGGACTGCGGGGCTATGAGTGTGTGCATTATTATTATTTCAGTGTGTAATAATAACGAAAACACGAGAACTTGATATTAAATTTTGAGAGAAGCTTTTACAACACACAATTATTATTTCATATACAACGCAAACATACGAAAAAATTGACGCATAAAATTTTCCTTATCAGAAAACCCAGCGACGCGTGTTTCCCATTAATAGGAGTTCAATGATCTTATTCTAATTGAAAAAAAATTAATTGTTTTACTAATTATTTAAACACATTCACGAACAGTCAACACCGTTGTCTTTTTTAACCGACTTCCAAAAAAGAATGAGGTACTCAATTCGACTTTATTTTTTTGTGTGTGTATGTTGCGGAATTACTCGATAACGCGATATTTTGTGAACCGAGTTTGAGAATTCTTTTTTGTCTGAAAGAGTTCGGAATTTTTTGAAATATGAAAAAAAAAAACCCCTGTAAGGGTGGCAAATTAATAATAATAATAATAAATTTTATTGACCAAATAGGATTACAATAATTTGCATTTACACCATTTAACTATGCTACATGACTCTTTCTACCAATGATTTCTCGCGGTCCTTGCACTAAGTATATCCTTGTGTCGTAGAGACCTAGTATATTATGTCCAGTAACTTACATTTATGGCACACAGTTAAGTTAAATAGGTTCAAGGGGTTTTAAAAATAAGTGTTTACATTAAAATTTATAAACCTCCTTATGTTTTAATTACACGTAAATTTACTTAAATTAATTTTAAAATAAAGATTTAATGTGTCGATGTGTGTGTGTGTGTGTGTGTGTGTGTGTGTGTTGTGTGTGTGTGCTTTTGTGTATTTGTGCTTCTGAGGACGTGGTGTGAGTGAATGTAGTGTAAAGTATAAAATTAGAGGAAGGGTTCCATTCTCACCCTCTAATTTCCTTATTCCAACTTCTGCCCAGAAAAGCATCAACGTTTTTGTTGACAATGTAATAATAATAAAAATGAGTCTAAAATAGATATAATAATAATAACGTACACACACTCATAGCCCCGCACTAGGGAAACCCTGTATCGCGGGTGCCATGGACACACACATAGATAACCACAAATTACACCCAAATTCACGAGAGAAATAAATGTAGGCCATGCAAATATTTCTCCCGGCTCGGGGATCGAACCTGGGACCTCTGAGTCACAGTCTAGCATGGTAACCGTTCGGGGGCAATATACATTTTGCCGTAGAATTGTTGGTTTTTATATTAACATTTTTGAAAATTTTGTAGGTAGAGACACCTCCGTTCCCGAATCTGTTAGAAATCGCGTCAGCGATTGAATTAGAAAAGATATATCCTATGATAACTAGAGAAACAAGATTTGCAGAACCCCTGAAAAATGTATCTAACTCTCCATTTAGATGAACAAGTCAATAATCTATTCAATAGGTATAATTTTTACACTTGAAATCGTCATTTTTTAAGCTACAGCTCGTTCACTACGGTGACCTCCCTGAGAAGAACGAGCAAGAAACTCCAGGGATTGCCCTTTTCAAATAAACTTAAATGCTATAGAATACATTTTGAATGATATTTGTATGGAATTTAGACTCACGTTGTATCGCCTAAACACCCTCGAATAACAGACGACTAATTTCCGATCTCATAGTGCTATTTACAATTTCTCCCGATCTTCACGAAAGAATTTACAATTTGTGCTCTCCTGAAAGATCCTGTAATGTGCTCGTAATTTCACCAGCACCCTTATCCTTTCAAACCGGAATAGCCCCGCACTAGGGAAACCCTGTATAGCGGGTGCCATAGACACTCACGTAGACAACCACAAATTACACCCAAACTCATGAGAGAAATAAATAAAGGCCTTACGAACTATTCTCTAGGCCCGGGAATCGAATCGAACCTAGGACCTCTGCATGGCAGTCGGCACGGCGGCATGGTAACCATTCAGTCACGGAGGCAGTTGAACTGTGTTCCGGTTGGCGGCAGAATTAGATAAGGTGGCAGTACTTTCCAGGATGAACTGTTGCACAAGGAGCTCTACTGCAATCAGTAAGAAAAAGGTTACTTTTCGTTTGAGAGCGATTTCGGTTCGAGTCCCTGTGGCGACATGTACTTATCTACATCCTCATGGATAAGAGTCTTGACAGTATGACATTACGGTCCGTGGAAGTTGGGAGACAGCCGTTGTGAGACGCACTGACGCGCTGTGTGTGCTCAGCAGTGGGGCGGAGCCTGGCTCAGCTGTGGGTTAATAAAGATGATTCTGCTAATTATGAAACGACTGTAATTAATTTTAATTATTCCAGATCTGCGGTTTTGAGG